ATCCCCAGGAGTTCTGTTTTGAGACTTTCATTTAGATCACAGGAGGCTAAAATCCAGTTGAAAAGACTCCCTTTGCTGACAAAGTATGCCAGACCCATATAAAGGATTATATTCAGCAAGAAAAAGAAACTATTGACTATATTACATCATGGATGAATTTCACAAACATTACAATAAGTGAAAGAAGTCGGCACAGACATCACACATTGTATATGCCCAGAAAATGCAAATTTACAGAGACAGAAAGTAGATTAGTGATCTGCTAGGGTGGAGGTGAAGCCTGAATAAGTACAATGGGACTGAGGGGTGGGGTGACTGAGGGGAGTGTTGTGAAAGTGTTCTAAAACAATTATGGTGAGGGCTACATCATTTGGGAAAGTCATGAAAATCAATGAATTGTATATGTAAAATGGGTTCATTATATGTAAAACATATCCCAATAAAATTGTTTTTAAAAAGATTTCCTGCCTTCCAAATCACCCATCAAGGATTCATTATTCATGAAAGCTCACAATCAATAAGATTATTATCTCTTGTTGATGTACAGTGAAAATTTTACTATGATCTTGGTTTACACCCCCTCCTTTTTTTCCCCAGTATTAAATAGTCTAGAAAAGGTCTCTTATTTTTAAATATAATGGAACCTGGACTGGGGAGAAACCAGTAAATCTTGCAAATGAGACTCTTGACAACAAACTCTCAGGGGACTCTTTCTCTTTAAATAAAGATGGTGCATCTCTCCCTTTGCAGTTTACTCTGCTGCCCCCTGGGGGTAGACCTCTTGGCAGACAGTGTAGAGATCAGCGGACTCAGCTATCCTATTCCAATGACCCTTAAAAATTCAGGTCTGCTGGGAACAGCAGTAGGGGGCTGGGCAGAAATGGGAGTGGTTCCTGCTTCCCTGTCAGCAACAGCGACTTCAAGATGGGAGAAATACAGACAGATAAAAGCAAAGGAAAAACCCTTCCCAAATTGTGATGAACCAAGTCCGTGAATGACACTCAGCATATGGCTGTGGAGCAGTGACTGTGAAAGTGTCCCCCTACTACACAGGCTCAGAGTGGAAAGAACAGCAAAGCCAGTGACCCACATGGGCAATGAGGGGAGGACTGGCTCAGGGGAACTGTGGGCAGAGGCAGGAGAGCAAGGCCCCCTGCTGCATGCCAAGCGAGGCTCAATTCTCCTGTCCTCTCCACCCAGTTCTCCAATGAATGAATGATGATGGCATTATCCCAAGAAGTATGGTTGGGCAGTCTTCCCCAGTAGGTAGACATCTCCAAATCTTGGTCACATCTGTTAGGTCTCTATTTGTTCCCATACCTCAACATCTCTCCAAAGCAAGAAACTTTATTAACCTATAGCACAGGGACCCTTACCAATGAATGTCTGCCCCTTCCAATAACAGTAGAGTGGATTCCTAGGTTCCAGAAGTTTTAGAATCCTAAGTAGTCATTTTCCTACAGGGGTCTGCAGCAACACTAACTCATGAAGATTCAAACAGATTGCTTCCTTTGGCATCCTCATCATACAGCTTTCCTTTGTGACATGTGTTACTACTTGCCAGAATAGTCAACTAACCTTTTTCCAGTCTCTCCAAAATCAACCCAAACTTTGACATTATAACAAGTCACAATTTGGAAAATGCTACTTGCTATTTCACTCAGAATGCTGTTTTAAACTCACAGTTAACACTGGAATCTTAAATCATGACACCCCAGCTGTTTTTACTTTTGGAGATAAAAGGTGCTGCAATGGCCCAGCCTTTTCCTATGATAGTTCCGGTTTGAACCTGTGCAATTCCCAGCAGTCTACTGCTGCCATTAGAATCAGGTCCAAAGACCCAGATTGGCAGATGCTCAGGCTGAGAGGTCTCCACTGAGTTTCCTGCTACAGCTCAAAAGCCTGAAGAAATCAAAAGGCATTTCTACTATTTCTTTCCCTGCTTGAAGAGAAAAAACATAAAATAATTTCCATCTTAAAGATTAAAAGTCAAATAAATAATCATAATAACCGGAAACCAACCATTAATAGCTAATGCCAAGACCAGCCAGACCTGGCAGCTATTACAAAGACATGGTTCTATTTCTATATAATTCCCAAACTTACAATTGCCAATAAAAAAAAGTATAAATGGAGTAGTGGCTTAAATTCCACATCAAAATAATCACTTATAAATAAATAACACATCTTACCATTTAAATGTAAAAGTGTTGAGCCTGACCTGCACACAGAACTCTTCCTCTGAGGAAAAGTCAGACAGATTGAGGTCCCGAGCCTTGCGCACAATGAAGGCCCAACAAGACCCACGCCCATTTTTTGCTAAAAAGTTGGCAAACTTTAGCAATAGCTGAGTCTATGATCTGGATAGTAATCGTACTCCTCCTACCTCACAACATAAAACAGAGAGAGGAAAGAGCTGAGCTACAGGAATGAAGTCCTTTACATCACAAGACCTCACATTAGACTTTGTCTCATGTACTTAGGACATGTCATCAGGAGGGAACTACTCCCTGGAGAACGACATCATGCTTGGTAAAGTGGAGGGTCAGCAAAAAAGAGGGAGACCCTCAACAAAGTGGATCGCCACAGTGGCTGTGATAATAGATTCAAACATAGTAATGTACTTACACTGGCAGAGGACTTAGCAGGATGTCAATGCGTTATATGTAAAATGGGTTGCTATGAGTCAGAATCGACTTAGCAGCACCTAACAACCACCACACACACACAAAAAGGGTCATATTATATTCCACATACTGACCCTGAAGTCAGTATCTCTAGGTCTGCATAAGACTGGAAACTCCAGTCCTCAAATTCCATTGCTCATCCGACAGGAAAGTTGTTTTTTTTTTAAAAATCCTAACCAAATAAACTTTGTGAAACCATACTGAAGACCAACATTCAAAATAGGAAAGCCTAGGAGTTAAGAAAGACAAGCCCCTTGTACTATCCCTAGCCACATACACTAACCTGTGACAGAGAGCAAACCTCTTCAAGGGCAAAGAAACAACTTAACTCTGGGTCCCAGCAGGACTTCAGCTGGGTTGCCAAACAAGCGTCTAGTATACTCTCTCTGATGGACACACCCACAGTCGAGAGAATGCACTTTCTGTCATTACACCTCCAACAGTCTTCAGAATTCTGAGGTTGGAGACTGAGGGACGAAAAGCAGCCCCAGAAGAGAGAAACCTCTATTTCTGAATGTCCAAGGTCCTCTCTATTAAAGGAAATCACCAGCTGAAAGCTAAATGACTTTTCTTTATTCAGAGTCCTCCCTGATGCAGTTAATGGTTCCATTCTCTGAGGTAGATGCTTGAGGAATTAATGCTGTTTGTCTGGAAATACAAGCTCCCCAAGCTAGTTTCCCATGACACCTGACCTAACAAGTAATGATGCTGTCCTACAGATTCAAATAAGGAAAAGGTGCGGCTAGGTGTCACATTTTAAGTTTGACATTAGCCTGTGGATTTTCAAAAAGCTAACAAGGGAGCCCACAAGAAAAAGGGGATTTTTAAAAGCGTACAGGTCCCTGGTCCTTTCCTTCCAACCTCTGTCCCACATCCACATACTGAATTTACACTTGATTTCAAGTTATGCAATCGTTTCCTTATAGGCCTACCACACAGCACAGTATAAGTACACAGAAGTCACGGTCATCCTCAGGCCTCCACAAGTCCCAGAATGATCAGGACTAGACACAATCTTTCTGCCACCTGCATCTCCTTTCCATAAAGGCAGCTCCTGGCACCTAGCTTTTTGCCTTATGAGGACCAACAGAAAACCCCGGTGAGTTATAGACAGGAAAAACAGAACACACCCAGACAGCACGACTAACAGGTTTGCAAGTGGGGTGTGTGGGAACTGTAAAGTTTTAAAATAGCTAAATCGATCCTGACAACTGTAGTCTCCTAGATAGAACAAGACTCACTTTCCTAAGCTGTTTTGAGTCCCGCTGCAGAATTCTGCAGGGTGGGGAGAAGCACCCAAACTGAATTGAGGTTCTTGCTAACATCCTTATAAACCCTTTCTGAGGGAATAAAGTGTTTATGGGGCTGGAAAAAAATAAATCATGTAAAACAAACTTAAGACACAATTAATAGGGTTCGAGGATGATTTCTCCAGGCTCAAGCTGATGGCCAGCACAAGACTTCTCATAGAGCTTTGGTAATGAGATCTCTTTCTAATAAATCAGAGAACAGTTGGGGTAGACAGGAGAGAGGGGAACAGACACCAGGTCGGATAAGATGGCAAATCAACCCTACTTTTCTTTTACAGAGGCTCTTTAAGAGTAGGACAATAGTAACTGAATGACTCAAGTGATAATCGCCAAAACAACCCTCCCCTTCTGATATACAGCTCTCACTGACCACCAAGATTTACCACGCACCAGTACTAAGACTCTATTTTCTTGGATGGGGTTCAGGGCAGGATGAAGTTGGCCTCAACAGGCTCCTGGTAATCCCAGTTCATTGCAGAACCTCCAAGAGAAGGGGAGCTGAGCTCAGTATCCCTGGTTTGTACCACCTGCTGCTTCCACGTGTCCCTCTTCCCGTTCAGTTTAGCAAACATAAAACAAATAGTTCTCCAGGTGGTCACTGCCCATCTAAGTAGACAGCGGGGAGAGAAGGACATTTCTTAAACACCTAGTTTTTCTTGGTCAGCTTATTCTGTTTAAATACACACAGAAGACAATTCCTGATGCGGGGTAGGGGGGAGGTGAGAAAGAATGCAATTTCCTTAACTCAAAAGAGCTTTTTTTTTTAAAAAAAAAAAAAAAAAAAGGGAAATTGCTTCCCATGGAAGTCAGTAGAACAAACGAGAAATACTCAGAGGCTTGTAGAATAAGACTGAGCACAGTACTCAAGTCTCAGAAGTTAAATCATTCTTCCCCTTCCCCATGAGCGTCCCTCCCCAGCCCACCCCCCTCGCCAGCTCCTTTTTGTGCAGCACTGTCCCCAGATGTGGGGGCATACAAGTCCTTCTCAAAGTTTGCTGTCAGCTCAGTATTTCACTCCTGGAATAAACTCCTTGGCATCTGGGTTCAGGTTACTTTTGCTCTGAAAGAAGAATTAAGAGATAATAAATCCCAAGAGAAGCTACACTTTAAAAGTAATTTTCTCCCAGCTTCTATTATTAACAATTTCTGTCTCAAGGAGAGAAAGAAACGCAATTCTCTATCATGCTGTTAACTACATTCTGAACCAGAGTTCCTTAAACACAAAAGGGGTTGGGCTGCTCCAAGTGCCTCCTGGCTAACCAACTAAAGCCCTGACTAACCAACTTCATTTTTCCCTTAGACTCCTGTTGCCTTCACGATGTTCCCAAATTCTCATCAGGGACTTGCAAGTTTGACTCCAAAAAAAGTCCTTAAATACACTGAGTACACCTTAATTTGATGCAAATCAGAGGACCCCATCAAACCCATCTGGTTACCACAGTCCCTATTTTCCTTCATCTTTCTATACCCACCTACTCTCATGAATACCCAAAACCTCAGCAAAATTGCAGAGCACAATTATTCAGAACATGAGTTGTCTGAGAACTGTATCATTCACAGAACACATTAATTAAACACTAGAGACATGGAATTGCTCTACCCTGCCTTCCAGGTGGAAAATGGGTGTTCTGGAGCATATGTCTATCAAACTGAGCTGGAAACTTTTTAACATTTGAAACTCTATTAAATACAGAAAGGGAAGGACAGCAGCAAATGACCATCTGAAACCAAACACCTCCAGTGATTCCCATTTTTATTCGTAAGAAGCCTAATTCCACTTGGAAAAGCCCATTAGGGAAAAATAGAAGGTGGTGACGCTAGCAATAAGTGTTCTCACAGGACTTCCTGAGGTGCAGTGCTTTTTTACTGCACCCTCTTACTAATGCCTATGTGATGAGCAAAGAAACAGTGGCTCAATGACTGCAGAGACTTGCCCAAGGTTGCAGGGCCAAGAAACAGGTCTGTGTCTCCAAATCCTATATTCTCTTCACACATTGCATGTGGAACCATATGCGGTTCTTACCAAAATATCCTCAGAATCATTACTGTCACTGACGGAAAGACCATTTAATTGTTGTTGCAACTGTCCCATGGCCTGAGGCAGGTCTCGAGATGGAATAAACCAGTCCTGATCTTCCTCATCCAACATCTCCTGGAAGCAACGGTCCAAGAAGTCTTGCTCCTGCAGTTCCTCCTCAACCTAGCAAGCAAAGGGGATGGGCTCAGAATGACTCCCAGTGGCACTCACCTTTCTCCAGATTTTTGCCTACCTCTTTCCTTTAGAGATTATAACTCTGCAACAAAGAACAATCTTATGTAACATCTACAAAAAATGAAGATGCTTCTAATGACTAGCTAGAGAAAATAGCTTTAAATTTTGCAAGCAAATTCCGTCAACAGTAAAACTAAGGAATGTTGTTGTTAAGTGCCATCAAGTTGGTTCCGACTCATAGTGACCCTGTTTAGGGTTTCTGATTTGCGGCTGGTGAGCTTGAACTGCCAACCTTGCAGTTCTGGCACATCAACCCACAGTGCCACACCAGGAATAGTTATTTAAAATTGCAGAATTTTCAGGTCTTCAGACATTTTTGGACCTCTTATATACAATATGGACTCCTGGTATGGCGCTGTAGGATCAGTACTGGACTGCGAACCCAAATGGTCAGCAGTTCAAAGCCACCATCTGCTCCTTGGAAACCCTATACAGGGTCGCTATGAGTTGGAACTGACTGGACAGAACTTCACAATGACAACAATATACAAAATACAGACATTTTCCATTCATCTCACACTTATGGAAAATCATTTGAGAAATTATTTTCTTGCTCTTGGTAAGAAGAAACCTTCTTAAATTTTCCACTTTACAATATGTATGAAAAAGACACAGTGACTATGAAACTACCTTACTACCTGGAAGGTAGAGATTAAATCTGAGCTAATGCTCAGCTTCTGGCTTGCTCTTCTGATAATAAGGCATCCAGGGAGAAAAAAACCAAAACAATGCTGTATTCCTTAAAAATAAGAAGAAATACATGGGACTTCTGGCAAGATGGCAGATTCAGGTAGACATACTACACGGACCCTCTACAACAAAGATACGAGAGACAAAATAAAAATGACATAAATGAAAATTTTGGAACCTTGAACGTCTGAAGAAAGGTTAGAAAGGTGGATGGAGTGCTTGCTGGGAAGAGAGGTCGTGCAGTAGGTGAACAGCTGGCCAGACTTGGCTCCACCATCTTGTCAGCAGCTTTGGCAGCAGAAGGAGGCCTGGCAGAGCAGGTTTGCGAGGGTGACAAGAAAAGCATAATTTCTTCTTTTTCGCCATGTTCCCCTGGTGACCATAAGTTAGGTCAGGTCCCACCCTCATTCAACCCCAGTGCAGACCTTGCTCTCTGGGAATTCAGAGCTTCGTGGTTTGGAGCCATGCCAGCTTCAAGTGGGGATTGGCTGTGTTGCTCTGGTGCCTGGATTCAAGTGGGCTCAGCTCCAGAACTACAAAACTTGTAGAGACAACAGACCAGCATTTAACCAGTCACCCTGTCTCTAGCTTCCCTGCGGTCCTAACAGACACTGAAACCTGCTCCATCAAGGGCCCCCATTTTCCAGATTGAGTGCTGTGAACATAGATAACAGCGAGGTTGACAAAAGCTCCATCTAGGGCCAGGAACTCTGCTGTCACATCCCTTCCACAATCATCATGAGAGCTCCTTGAATTGCAGGAGCCCCCCAGAGGATTCTCCCCTCCAGGTCCAACAACTGCAATGTTCGCTTTTACAAATACTACAACCTCACAACAACCCAGAGACAACAGATAATTTTAGCTCACATGAAGAAACAAGAGAGACTGTTTTAAACAAACAAATGACCAAAAGGGAGCCAGAAGACTTTTCTGAAGAAGAAAAGGGAGTAGAACTAACTGAAAAAGAATTTAAAAGAATGATAATTAGGTACCTTTAAAGGACTGATAGAAAGATTGAGGAAAGCAAAGAGCACAAAATTAAGACTTCAGGAGAATTCAGAAAAACACTACAAGAACAAACAGAGAAAATAACTGTAAAATGTGAGATAATAAAACAAGCTTCAATTAGAAATCTAGAAGATTAATACTAAGATCTCAGAAATGGACAATACAGTGAAAAGGCAATGGAGCAGATGCAAAGCAATCAATGGAAGACTGAATGCCAGAAAAACAAGCAGCAAAAAGAATGGAAAAATTCAAAGAAATCCTAAGAGTTATGTGGAACACCATGAAGAGGAATTCCAGAACAAGAAGAGACAAGTACAGAAACAACTGTCAAAGACTTTTTGGAAGAAAACTTCCCTAACATCATGACCGATGAAAAGATAAACATACAAGAAGCAGAATGAACCCCCAAACAGGAAAGGTCCCAAAGGAAAATCACTAAGACATATCATAATCAAACTTTCCAAAATCAGAGACAAGGAAAGAATCCTGAGAGCAGCTCAGGATAACAGTTACCTACAAAGGAGAACCAGTAAGACTGAACTCTGATTTCTCAGCAGAAACCATGCAGTAGGTAATCTGAAAGAAAAAGATTGCCATCCAAGAATCTCATACATCCAGCAAAGTTATCTCCCAAATGTAATTGTGAAATTAAGACATTTCCCAATAAACAGAGATTAAAAGAATTTGTAATGACCAGAGTTTACAAAAATATGCTAAAGGGTGTTCTTTGGACTGAGAAACAACAAAAGTAGACAACAACCTGAGATTACCATACATAACACCACCACCCAGAATTAAAACCAGATGTGAACCAGGCTGCCAATCTCAAGGTCAGCAGTTTGAAACTACCAGAGGGCTATGAATGAAACATGAGTCTTTTTGCTCCCTTAAACTTTAAGGAGCTCTGGTAGCATAGTGGTTACAGGTCAGACTGATAACTTCAAGGTCAGCAGTTCGAAACTACCAGCCGTTCCGAGGGAGAAAGATGAGGCTTTCTGTTCCCATAAAGTTCTACGGCCTTAGAGGAAACCCTATGCAGGTTCACTATGAGTCTATGCAGGTTCACTATGTGTCGGAACTGACTCCACGGCACATAACCACCACCACCATGCACTCCTTTGCATGCACTGCTAACTTTTAGTAAAGCATAAGATTAGGAATATGGTTTACTCTACAGCCTATGGTGTGGCACTGTAGGATAATGCACTGGACCGCAAGGTCAGTTTGAGCCACAAGGTTGGCAGTTCAAACTCACCAGCTGCTCCTTTAAAACCCTATACAGGGCCGCTATAAGTCGGAACCGACTTGATGACACTTAACAACAGATGTAGTATGATTTAGAACAGGCTTACTGCCTCACAATCTGTCCACCCTTTACTGCAGCAGTACTGGTGATGGATTCACAGCTCAAAAGCACCATCACCAGATAGGAGGTCGAGCAAACAATAATCACCCAATGATGGGTTAACATGATGAACACAGTTATCACTTAACACATGAACTGATGAAATGTCCAATGTTTTGTTACATCACTAATAAGTGTTGTTAAGCTTGAGCCCACTGCTGCTGCCACTGTGCCAATCCATCTTGTTGTGGTGGATTTTTTAAATTTTTGCTGACCCTAAACTTTACAAAGCAGGGTGTCCTTCTCCAGGGACTGGTCCCTCCTGAATTATGAGACAAAGTCTCATCATGCTGGTTTCTAAGGAGCACTCTGGCTGTACTTCTTCCAACACAGATTTGTTTATTCTTTTGACAGTCCATGGTACTTTCAATGTTCTCCAATATTGTAATTCAAATATATCAATTCTGTGATCCTCCTTATTGATTGGTTGTCCAACTTTCACATGCATAAGACTATTGTTAATACCATGGTTTGAGTCGGGTGCATCTTAGTCCTCAAACTGATATCTTTGCTCGTGAACATTTTAAAGAGGTTTTGTGCAGCAAATCTGGCTAATGTAATACATCATTTGATTTCTTCACTGCTGCTTCCATGACTATTGATAGTGGATCCAAGCAAAAGGAAGTCTTTGATAACTTGAATCTTTCTCCATTTATATTTGTTGTTAGGTGCCATTGAGTTGGTATCAACTCATAGTGACCCTATGCACAAGAGAACGAAACACTGCCCAGTCCTGGGCCAACCTCACAATTGTTGCCACACTTGAGCCCATTGATGCTGCCATTTTGCCAATCCATCTTGCTGGGGGTCTTCCACGTTTTCTCTGACCCTCCACCTTACCAAACATGATATCCTTTTCCAGCGACTGGTCCCTTCTGACAATATGTCTGAAGTATGAGAGACAAAGTTTGGCCATCTTGGCCTCCAAGCAGCACTCTGGCTGCATTTCTCCCATTTATATGGATGTTATTTATTGTCCAGTGGTGAGGATTTTCATTTTCTTTACATTGAGGTGCAACCCATCAGTAACTTTTAAGCCCTCTTCATTTTCAACAAGCAAGGTTGTATCATCTGCATATTGTAGGCTGTTAATGAGTCTTCCTCCAATCCTGATGCCAGTTTCTTGGATTATTTGCTTAGCACATATGCACTGAATAAGTATGGTGAAAAAATATAACTCTGGTGCATACCTTTCCTGATTATAAACCATTTAGTGTCCCCTGTGTTCTGTTAGAATGACTGCCTCTTGGTCTATGTACAGGTTCCTCATGAGCACAATTAAGTGTTCTGGAATACTTATTCTCTGCAATGTTGTCCATAGCTTGTCATGATCCATGGAGTAGAAAGTCTATGTATAGTCAATAAAGCACAAGTAAATATCTTTCTGGTATTCTCTGCTTTCAGCCAAGACACACCTGACATCAGCAATAATATCTTTCATTCCACGTTGCCTTCTTAATCCAGCTTGAACCTCTGCAAGTTATCTGTTAATGAACTGTTGCAGCCGTTTTTGAATTATCTTTAGCAAAATTTTACTTGTATGTGATATTAGTGGTATTTTCTGATGATTTCTTCATTCTATAGGGTTACCTCTCTTTGGAATGGACACAAATAGGTATTTCTTCAAATTAGTTAGACAGATAGCTGTCCTCCATTTCTTGGCATAGATGAATGAATGCCTCCAGTGCTGCATCAGTTTGTTAAAAGACTTCAATCTATCAATGACTTCAGTGCACCTTGTACTTCTTCCTTCAGCACCATTGGCTCTTGATCGTATGCTA